TAGCGCGCACATTTCCTTTGACATACATTTATTATATTGTGATCTGATAGGACGAATGCGTTGTTGTAATTAAAAAGTTTCTACAAAACATGGAAGTGCAAGAAATCGTTGTAGTTTCGGTGCCTAGTGTAAGAGTTCGTAAAAAAGAAGCACACAAATCTTCATTGAGGAGAGAACGCGTAAAGATAAAGCGGTAATATCATGTACATCTCTAGCTATGTAAAAGTTATTGTTTGAAAGTTCGCTATCAGTTTTTCACTTTACTTGGATGCCTTCACTTCGTCACTTCACTTTCCACAATTTAGATTTACCTCCAAAATTAAAAAATCTTTGAAACTAGTAATTTTCTTTTAACCAAAATCAACAAGTTTTTGGTCAAATTCTTGTTAAGTTGCAAGTATGACAAAGTACTTATTTGGTAGAAGTGTTTTTGATTTTCATTTACACATACATATATCGCACAGAAATGAATGATTGGGTAAAGTTTCTTAATTATTTAATAAATATTTGTCGAAAATAAAAATTATATTTTATTTTTCATACATTTTAAATATTACAGCAAAAGGAAAATATTTAAGTGAATCTGGTTATGACTTTGTTGTTGTTAATCGGTAATCGATTAGTTATATTTTAGTGTAAATATCATCAGTGAACTATAGCTTTTGATTGTGACATTGTGATTTTAAAGAAACTGCGATTTTATTTTTTAATGTTATTGGGCTCTTACTTATCCAAATTTCAGGTAACAAAAAAAAAAATCAATTTAGATATTACTTGTTGTTGTAGTCGTTTTTTATGGCTTTTAATTATAAAAACACATAACGCTGTTTGCAATAGGACCATACATATGACATAATTTTCATATTGTCATTCACCACCTATAATCCGGACACTCCAGTAATCCACCGGATTCAGGCTATCCGCATTATCGAGATAGCACTGTATTTCATTTACAATATCGCCGAGAAACCATAAATGTTCTACCGTATTTATGTGCATAATAGTTTGACAGGAAAAATGGCGAAATATTTCCCATGGCATACACAAACTGTTTTTAAAATTTCGGCTTCCGATACAACTAAAATTAGAAATTGTATGCCAACTGTGTTGAACCTTAATTAATGGAACCATTATTTACGAGTAATATTTTCTCTACGGGGTGCAAATTGACCAACATTGTATGTATGCACGTTTGTGAGCTGGTATGTGCAGTATTATAGCTTTTTTATGTGCTGCGTTTTTTGTCTCTTTTAATGTCAGCATTCACTTGACAACTTTGTTGACTTAGCGCTACTAGCTCGCTTATACTTACAGCCACAAAACGTCCATAGAGGAATTTACCTTAATCTTAAGCTAAGCTTTGGTTTTATCTAAATCTACACACTTCAGCTTTGATTGCTTCCCTTTTATTGTCACTTCTATTCATATAGCACACACTCTTTTGCTCGGCATTTAGTTGCCCCTTTTAATTGAATATATATACATACATATGTACATTTGGATGTAAGTATATAGACCTTCACTTCCTCCTTTTGCCTAAACCGAATTTGGGTAAATTCTGGTAGCAGACTTAATTGCCAAAATATAGTGGCCATAATATTTTTTCTACTTCTATCGCAAATTGAGTTGTGTCTGGCAGGCCAGTCGGCCACATCTGCAACCGATGGCCAAAGTTATTGCAAGGAACTTCCTCCTTATTTGCCCCACAGGTTATCTGTACCTATACATATATATGGCTAAGAGCTTTGGCTCTTGTAGTAAGAATAATACATATAAATATTATCCACAATGGTAAAATTCAAGCAGGTGGGTTGCTGGATTGTAGTGCTTCCCACTATTACACAAGTGTCCAATGGTAGTGAAATTTTGTGGCTATTTTCTTGCACTCGTATTCTTCGGTTACCTAATCAGTCAAAATCAATTAACAATTTTTTCCGCATTTTATCCACTGCCGATTTCGTTAGCTGGCCAACTATGGACTTTCCTAGCATCCTAAGTACTTAAGTCTGAAGGATGACTAAAGTGAAGCACCATTTGAACGGAATGTTCCCTTCACCTGCAATTTGGTCTTTAACTAACTAATTGTACTAATTTGATAGCATGCCTTTCTTAACCCTTTAGTATACATATGAGGAGCTCTAGTAGTAAACATGTTCGGTACTGTATGATTGCGAGATAATAGAAAAGCAGATCCTTCTCCCGACGAAAAAAAACTCTACAATACAAATTTCCCGTCAAGCTCAATCCTTTACTTATGTATATGTCATAGAACGCTGCACTGTTATCTAAGCACAAGCCATTTCATTTTACTTATTCACAACAAAAAAAAATATTGCAAGCTGCATATGTATTTCTAAAAGTCCGGTACACCATATGCCAATTGCCTTATTGGCCACAATTACTATTTTGACCTTGTTAGCCCGTTTTTGGTTTGCGCTGGCACTCATACACATAAACATATGTATGTACATACATACATGAGTAGGTGCATATGTAAAAGCATGAAGCCAAATCGGCACAAAGTGAAATGCTAATGTTTTTAAATAAATATGTAAATGGCTTTAAAGATATGTGATAATGTACACTGATAAGTTGTGTTGTGGTCTTCGATGGTTCACGTTTGTTGCAGTTAACATGGTCTAAATCGCGACCACAACAACAATAGCATACTTAGTTGAATATTTATTGTGCTGGTGAACCAAATTTTGGCGCGTTGTTGAGGGAGTCAATGCTGTTCTATGTACAACATAAATGAGTGCACATACATACATATATAAGTATATTCATGCACCTAAGTTTCTAGCATAAAAACACATAAATTATTTGATGTCCGAGCAGAAGTTTCGGGTGCCAAAAATTTTACCGGCAAAAATCGAGAAAATAGTCAAAGATACTAACAGCAAAGGGAAAATTATTTTATGACTACAAATGTAATATACGATTATTGCAGGACAGGTAGTTTGTTTGTGATTTGGTGCATGTTGGCGCTATTGTTTTAGGCATGCATGTACGTTATTTGGAGAGGGGTAAGCAGTAGAAATATTTAGCACATCCACGTAAGATATTATCTTACATACATATATGCGAAGTACTTAGTACGCGAATATTTATTTACTAGGCGCGAAGCACTAATAAATTTTGCCAAAATAGCTTCTTTGCAATTGTGAGGAATGGGCTGAGATCCATTACTTTGATAGATGGAAAGGCATGCAACAATGCCTACTAGCTTAGTAAAGGGAATGATTTTCTTTTTCAGGTTTCGCAGATTCTTAGGTATCGGACAACGTAAATATTACTTCTCTCAAACATGGATATTCGCTTAATCCTGAGACACCTTTAAAATAACGAAAATTAAAAAAAAACACAACATTAAGCTAAACGATAGTTTACATTTAAGGACCATAATTGTTTGCATTCCACTTGCTTCTCTTGTATTACTTTGAAGTTAATAAAAAAGTATTCGACAAAAATTAGCTTTCTGGCGCGGAATCCACTAGGCTAAAAAAGAGAAATTCAAGTTTTCTTCGAGCATTTTCGGACTTCTTTTACAATAAAAAGAAAAAATAGTTCCCTATACTCTAAATTACCCAAGTGTTTTCAACGTAATAGTCGTTTTTATTAATTGAATTTTCAGGTAAAATTTTTTTCATATTTAGTTAAAAATACAACGTGTTATTGTCCCATAGGCTGGTTATCCTCAGAAGATAAGAATTACTTAGAAAAATAAAAACTTTTCAGCCAAAAACAAAAACAAATATCTCGAGAACGGGGCGAGGAAAAAACTTGAAAGAAATCATACACACACACACATCAAAATTCTCTAAAAAAGGAAAAATTTTAAAAGTTTTTTGAAAAAAAAATTGTTACTCAAAATATACCATCTCAAAAAAAAAAATTAAAAAATTCACAATGGTAGCTCTTAGTATTGCGCAATATTACGGTATAGAATTATGGGATGCACTCTACAATAATTGGAGTTATGAATTTTTCTTACACCGAAGTTGAGTAAAATGAGTACATTACAAATTTAAGTTTTTTTTATTAATTTTAAAGGAACTTTTTTGAGTATACAAAATTGCGTTGATTTTTGATATTGTTTACCTTGGCGACTTTTAGCACTTTTTTCTTATGGAAGAAAATGCGCAAAACCGTTTCAAAGAAAATTAAAAAAAATAACGCTAGTTTTACAATCGCTTAAAACTTGCACTTTATTAACTTAAAATTTAATGGGCTACAAAACTGCATACTCAAAAAAATTCTAAAAGAAATTAAAAAAATTTTAAATTAGTAATGTACTCATTTTACTCAACTTCGGTGTAAAAGAAATTCCATAACTCAAATTATGTAGAGTGCACTCCATAATACTATACTTATTTTCTTTTAGATAGCATATTTTCAAAACTTTTTTTTTTGATAAAAATTTTTAAGGGAAAAATTTTTCAAGAAAAAAAATCAAAAATGTTTCTTTTCATAGAGAATATTTAAGTGTGCATGTGTGAATTTTTTTAAATTTTTTCCTTGCCGCGTTCACGAGATATTTGGAAAACTATTAAATCTATTTGTTTTTGTTTTTGTGCTGTAAAGTTTTTGAAAAAGTATTAATCAAGCTCAAATTTCATAATTATTTATTATTTATGTTTCAACCTAAAAATTTGTAGCAACCCTAAAAATTTGAAACAAGTCAAAGACATGAAGTGTCTGAAGTGAACCGCGTATGGAACGCCCCATATATTAAATAATGCATGTGGCAGTTATGCTTTCAGATGCAAGAAGAAAAACTATCCGAAAATTGTATTCTAGCGAGTTTCAGTTGTATTTGAAAAGCAGTGTTAGCCAAAATGTGTTGTAACAGTCCGCGTTTTGGCCCATATGTACATTTGTATGCATAAATTTAAATGTGAAATATTTGTATTAGTTTTCCGAAACTATTTATTTATCTTGCTCTGTTTTTCTTTACTTGGCACCTTTTTCTTAACACCAACACCTCACTGCATTTGCAGGTTTCCGTAGACGAGTGGTGCAACATGTGGGACGCCTATGCCAAAGACCCCAGCAGTGCCATGGACTGGCAGACCAAATACATGAATTTCATGTTCGATCTGGAGGATGCTTCCACCGACGGCAGCATTGACGTGGAAGAATTCGCTTTAGTCTGCTCCAGCTATGGGCTGGCGAAGTCGGAGTGCGAGGAAGCGTTTAAGAAAATGGCACAAGTAAGCTAACGGCAAACCAATTTTAAATAATGTGTTCTGTTTTTTACATAACACATTTAAAATACATCATTTTACTTACAGGGTCAAAGTGAGGTCACACGTGATCAATTTGCCGTTTTGTGGAAGGAATATTTTGCCGCGGAGGACATTAATGCGCCAGGCAACTTCATCTTTGGCAAGACCTCGTTTTAACGCTCTAAAGATTGCCCAGCTGCTAAAATTTTCAAAACGTTTTTGTGGGCATTACTTACGGGTGCACAGTGGAGCGTCTAAGCAAATTTGTTTGGCATAAAGTGTGTTAAGTGTTAATGTTAAGCTATGCCCTTGAAATTTAAGTGTTTGGAAGTAAAAAACTTATATATTAAAAAATATAAAATTTTAATAAAAAATAAAAGAATAAATAAAACTGCGGATAGTGAAAATTTTTGAAAACAAATGTGCGAAGTCAAGAAAGCAGATTTGTTTTTGTGTGGAACAATGAAATTTTAATGCACTTTAGCGCCAGTTAACCAGAATTAACAGAAACGGTACTTTACTTTACTTTACCTAATGAAACAAATAAAACTTTATTAATGCAATTATATATATTGTATGATTCCTCATTAATGTGCTCAAAATTAATTATGAATATTATATACTATAGTACATATATACACTTGAAACTTAGACTATATCGAATGCTGACACAAACATAATCAAAATGAATAATTTAATGATGTTTGACGTGTCGTACATTTGTAATCAATTTATCGTCAATCGAACCAATGTATGTATGTAGGTACATGTATTGTACATACCTGATATTGAGCGACCTAATCCTTGACTTTGTTTTGGTTTTTTTGTATAAATGTAGATAAATGTTCGTGGAATAATTCTCAGTGGTAAAAGCTAAAGTATTTAGTAGTAAATCAAATTTAAATTATTTGACATAAATTTATAAACTAGTCAAATTATAATAAAATTAAATGTTCCCGAAATAAGTAATGTACGAAAACAAAACCCTATTAAATATGTAAATGATAAAAGTGTTTATTAAATGTTCGTGTGTGTAGCTAAATAAATTCAAAATAAAATGTCGAATAAAAGGCTTTGAAACAATTAGTTAGAAAATGGCATTTAATTGAAGGTTTGCTAATGCACAATTATATAAGAACATAGTGGTGCAGAGGGCGCACTTAACCCTCTACTGCATGAGTTATGAATGAGATAAATAAAAAAATAAAAAATATCGTGAAAAACACCTTTTTAAGCATCAATAAACCTATATCAAAACTACTCCAAGTCATTTATATTAACTTCTATTTCGCAATGAAATATATGGAATATTTCACGAAAGCAATAGAAAACAATTGGATCGGCCACGCACACAAAAGTGCAGTTTTATTCAAATGTTATCTAACCACAGGCAAATCAATTACGTTCTCAATGCATTTAATTAGTGTGATATGTTTTTATAACATTCGTTGGATAGGAAAAAATTGCCAGAGTAGTGACATCATATTTTGCTTCGTACGCAGTAGTAGGTTTGTATGAAATTTGAGCAGGAAACTATGTTACTCATACGCCATGTATTAACCCTTTGAGGACAAAAAATTAGCCGTTGAAGCTAAAACTCTGAAAATTTGTTTACCGGCAAAATTTGGGTCGTTGATTTCAAAAATGGGATCAAAAAATTACTAAAACTCTTAGTTTTACCGTTATTCACCGTCCATTATATTGGACAGTGGTACCCAAGGTTGGTAAAATGCGAAGTGATGTCAGTTATTTTAATTTTTTTATTTTGCGGTATACATATATTTTAAAACTAAGAATAACACTTAATATTTCCGCTATTAATTTCACCGAAAAATAGTTAACTTTTCCCATATATAGACACTTTTCACTTTTATGAAAAAAACACCTTCAACTGCAACCCGAAAATACAATAAAGGAAGAATGATATACTTTTCTCAAAGCAACTGTTATTTTTTAAACAAAAGCTATTATTTACCATTCCATCAATATTAATCGGATGCGCCTGGAGGAAGTTATTGCCAATGATTAATATCTGGCAATATTGAATATTTATAACAATATTTTGTAAAATTTATATAAAATCCAGTACTTAGATTTAACAAAAGCAAGTAACGTTTCTACATACATAACTTCTCTATTTGCTATCTGAAGAAAGACCGCCTACCCAGCAAGCAGATACAACGTTTTTTCAACCAAGTTATGGTTTGATTTTTGTATGGTTAACAAGCCGATTGTAAGAAATGCGATTCGAGTGGAACATTTGAGAATAAATTCGTATGTATGGCAGTGTTGTTGGCTTCCAGCAGTTGTGAGAGTGCGAATGCCGTCAGCGAGGCACCGAATTTTCATATTCTTTTTTGTTTTTGGTTTCCTTAATTACGAAAAAGCCTCTGTGAAGTGCAGAACCAGTTCAACTGACGAAGGAACTTGTATCAAGTTGAACATTTGAAGGCAGATTTATAAAGCGGCTGTAGCTGATTGTTCAGAGATGCTTGCTTTTATTTGCTAACATACATAAGATGCGGTTTCACATCTCATCAGAGGAAACTTGCTATTATGAAAATAAATTTTTTTTTGTATCACCGAATTATGAAAAAGCATCTGTGAAGTGCAAAACATAAGCGTATCCAAACGAAAAAATCGTCGACCGACAGTTTGGTTACTGTAAATAAAAGTTTGGTTAATATTACCAAACCATAGTTGAAAAAATCAAGGTATTGTTAATATTAACCAAAAATCCTATTGTTTCTTTTTGAAGTTTGAATTTGATAATGCTAATCAATTTTTGTTTGATTTTTTCACAGTGTACACATGCATTCTTAAATAAGTGCATATAACACTCCTTAATCCTAGAATTTTGTTACTTGGAAAATAAGTTAGGGCTATCGGTCCTGGGATCTTGGACTAAAAGACAAATTTAGATATACATATTCGTCATTTCTTCATATTTAGGCATTCACATAAAGACCTTAACCAGCCATGAAGAGGTCTCCAGAATTGACATCTGGCACTAGCGAAATATCGTTCTAGGTACGCAGCATCATTCGCTTTAGGTTAGCAGTTACCATTCAGTGTGCCCCTGCTTTTATGGATGCTTAAAAAATATTTAAAAAAATGTGCTGCTATTTTTTAGCTTAATAAGTATCACCCATAATTTTCCTGTTACTTTTGTCGTAAAACGTAAGAAACTGGAACTAGCAGAAGCAAATTAATAGGGCAGTTGAAATGGTCCCGCATCACTGCATTTGCAAACTTGTGGAGTATTTTTTTGCCTTGACAAACCAAAATGTGTGGTGGTGGGTGCTTTTTCCTTAGCATGTGCGGCAAGAGTGAAAAATTAATTGCTATTATTATTTTTTTCTAAATTATATGAGTCCATCCCTTAGCCTTGGTGTTATCAGTAGCTTCAGAAGTTGGGGAGTGATTCGAGCAAACTTTTAAACCGGGCCGTCAAAAAAAAAATGCTGCCGCTGCACACAAAGGGAGTATAAGCGTTCTTCAAAAAGGGCTGCTAGGTGGCATTGATATTTACCTAGAGACAAACACCGCTTCACTTTAGAGGCCCGATGGGTTTTTTTCACGGAGACAAGGAGTGAGAACTTTTCACTTTTTTTTGTGACATATTTCACTCTACGATATTGAATCTACCTACTTGTTGTACTCAAAGAAGTTGCTGTGATTTTGATTACGACCTTGAAAAATATTGTCACTGCGTCTAAAAGTTTCAGGCCTATTAGAATGATGTCCTTCACGCTGAAATGTTTGGCGCAGATTGGTTGATTTTCGCATTCGCCGGGAGGCGCTTTTATAATATTAATTCTACTAATAGATTGGCGCTCCTCCGATTTGTGGCATGCACCTTTAAGATGTCATACAAAGGTGAAGGACCTACATTTTAACGCCGACTCCGAGCGACGATTGTATTTTTATTAGAAGCTGTTTTTGATGGCAGAAATAATCTCGGAGGTTTAGCATTTCTTGCCGAGAGGCGACTGCCATTAGAAGGAACTGCTTTGTTTGTTTTTTTTTATGTTGGATTAAATCGAGCTTGAACCCAGGACCTTCGCAATGGTAGCGCGTGCTGCTAACCACTACACGACAGCGCACTTTTATAATATCCTACGGCATTCTGTGGGTTCGCCCATCGTCAGTTGTGCACCTATGGTCTGGTGGTGCAGACTCTGAATCTATAGTGCGGCAAATCTGCTCATGAAACTTCACAGAGCGATCGCCGTGTGCTGTAGGAGGGCTTTCCCCATAGCTGAACCTACCATGACGTAAGATCTTTATTCGCGGGGAGGCCCTTAAAATAACTGGGTGCTGTTATAATTACAGAATGGAGTGAGGCGGAAATTGCTGGAGGTAAACATCTAGATGTGCCACACGATAGTATGCCACCATTGCCTTTGCTGAAGAAATACCTATAATTTAGGGTTCCCTAAGGCTGAGTGCTGCTTTAACCCAATTACTTGCCGCGGACTTACGCTTTTGTAGAATTTTCATTGATGCTCCAAAACTGACTCAGGGTCAGAATCTGTGAGCTATGTATTTCCAAGTTAATGGAAAGAATATTCACTTTTGGGGAATAGGTATGCCTCGGTATTCCAAACCAGGTTATTTTCAATCCTTAAGGCCGTGTAATGCCAGAAAATGGGCGAAGAAGTAAGACCTTACGTGTGTCTAGCGGCGGCCAAGATACACTAAAGACATTGTTCAGCTCTCTAACTACTTTTAATCGGCAATGCCACTGTCTGTTAAATTACATATGCGGCAAACAAAATGAACTTGTTTCAATTTGTGTTCCAGGTCATTTGGAAAGAGATGGTTTAGACCAGGTGTTATTAACTTGGTCCAAAACGAGTTGTAGCACTCCCAACTTCGCCCATCGCAGCCACCTTCAGAAACTGGGTGAATATTTCGTTCAGCATTGACTGGCAATGATTCGAAGGTTGCAGGTATGCCAAACTCTTGTTGCCCTCTATCTCAAGGATCGAGCTAGGTAATTGCTTGCATTAAACAGATGGGACTGCATTGAGGACTAGTCACTGCTGGAGCCATAAACAACTGACTGTAATAACAACAATACATGTCCTTCTGCTTAGAAGGGGATGAGGCGGCGAAACACTTTTTGTGTTTTTGCCACTCCTTAACAAGGATTAGGTACCACACTTTCAATCAGAGAACAATATCATATATTCGTGGACCGTGTAGATTTAAAATGGATGGCATGCAGAGGTGGTGCTGTTTTCGAGTAGAAATCTTAGCTGTATAGTCCATATTCGGGTGTTATGGTGGAATACCTTCAAGAAAAAAAAAATTTGTATTACACATTTTTGATATTTTTTGCTTGTGCGAACTTCTTCTATTCATGGTGTACCTATATACA